CTCAGCCGCACTTACTCTGCTGCTGAGGCCTTCCACTGAGCTTTTCAATTCGCCTACGAGATTTTTCAGGTCTGACATTTCTGATTGCATTTTCCTCATTTCTGCCTTCAGATCCTCTTGTCTTCTATTGGCATTGCTTTCCATTGTTTCTTTTAATTCCCTAAGCATCCTAAGTAGCTCCCTTCTGAATTCCTTGTCAGAGAGGTTGTCTAACACTACAGTACTGTTGGTGTCATCTGGGCTAGACTCTTCAATATGAAAGTTTGGTGGGCTTTTGCGTTGCTTTACCATTGTGAGAGGTGTGGTTTAGTCCTTCACGTTCACTGTTACTATTCTGCTTGATATGCAGTGTGAGTTAAGATAGGCTTATGAGTTATTGGCTACTGTGTTTCTAGTGGCTGAGCTAAAATAGAGAAGTTTCCATCTAAGAAGGTAGCTTATGGTTCTTAAGGCATATGTAGTGGGAAAATATTTTGTGGCCGCGTTAGCGGCCGCGGCTCCGGAAAGAGTCCCTGGCACTGGGCGAGGAGTTGGGAACGTCTTCTGTTTGGAATTGGAGCCATTCAGCTTTGTGGCCCAGAGCTGGGCCTCTGTGCCCGTCCCACACAGATCAGGGGTTGAAAACCGGCTTTCTAGGGGCTGGTTCTAGCTGCGCGTGCCCAGAGAGGGACCCAGGCCCTTGGGGGCGGGCTGTACCTGTTGGAATTGGAGCTGTTCAGCTTTGTTGCCCAGAGCTGGGCCTCTGTCGTTTGTCTTTATTTTTTACACTTTCACTTTTATTGATGGTTTTGACAGTGAGGATTTCATATGAAGCCAAGGCAGTTCATTTGCTATACAATAACATCTGCTTCTAAATAGATGTCATATACCATGGAGAGCAATTGTTTTAACTTAGAAAATAATTCTGAATTATTACTGTAAAACATATGACTAAAATATGAAACATCCTTATTTTTCATAACTTCCAGTGAAACTTAAGTAACTCACACATTTCAGAATTGTCTTCTGGATGAAATGGAACAAGCCCTTATTGTCAGACAAACTCTAAATAGGTAAGGTGCCATGAGGAAGGAGAGCATGTAAGGGGACCCTTCTCCATGTCAAACTGCTGAAGGACAATGACAATTACACAGAAGGACAATAGAATATGAGTTCCAGAAGAAAATGACACTGCAAGACAAGTCATATAAACAAATCTCTCAGGACGATTTGAACAGCTTTCCAGAGGACACAATCATAATGGGTAGATAATTTATGTGAGACAAGGTTAAAGGATTCCTTTATATTTCAATAACTTCCACAAATATAAATACAAATCAAATGTAAACACCCCTGCAAAATCCGAGACTCTTCCTTGACCATTTCTTTGCAGGGCACGTTAACAGACTTGTGGCATTGAGATGTAAAGATTTAATTCTGGTGAGTCTGGACAGGCCAAGGTGAAAACTCTGACTTGGAGACTTAACAGACATTGCTGCCGGGGGGTGGGGGACAACCCCCATTGACACTTCCAGATATGACTGGTAGGACCCACTTTGGTCACTTGCTCACTCTCAGTGGGAGCACTGTGTGTTTGCAATGGTATTCCAGGGGCCTCTGAAGAAAAAGACCCCATTTTTGATCATGGCAGACATTCTCACTTGATAGCAGCTGGGGTAGAGACTAGCTATGGTGAAAGCTTTGGTGAAAGCATTACATTTTGATATGGGTTTCTTTTCTTTATAACTGGTTTTATTTTTTTACCTTCAGTTCTTTCTTTTTCACTTTAGCTTTGCTTCTTTTCTCACAGTAGTTTTCTCCCTCATCTTCACAATCTCCAAAGTCAGAATCACCCTCAGACTCAAAGTCTGGCTCAGAGTCCTCAGATGTATTACCATCACTGCCTTCCAGAAGCATCTTTCTCTGTTGGTCCACAGCTTTAGATGGTGCTTTGTTTTTTCCTTGAACACCATGGAAATAATCTTCTTCAGTACTTTTATTCAGATCTAAATAATCGATGGTTACACTGCAATTAGAGATATGGGAGGACTTAGTCATTATTTCTATTTCACCATTGCCTAGTTTTTTAATGCTTTTTTCCCCCTGAGACTCCTCCACATGAATGGTGACTGTTGAACATTCCTTCATGGACAGAGTGAGGGCAATTTCTAAGTCTCTCTTTAGAGCTTCTAATACAGAGCCATCCTTTTTTTCTTCTTTTTTCAAATTTCCTATTGAGGCATGTCTTCTCTCTGGAGAGTTTTCAGTTTGGGGTTTTATTTCTCCTCTTTTACTTTTGTCCCGAGTTTGTTGTTTAAAGGGGCATTAGCAGCGACAAAGTCATCATCACTGTCAGAGTCATCAAACTGTGAATAATTGATCGACTTCTCATGTCTCTCAGGCTACACTGTGATCCCTTTCAAGGCTGAACAGTTGCAGGTCCCAAGTCCTATTTGGCAGTGTCCTTTCTTTTCCTTTAAAGATGCTCCCATAATGAATTTCCTAAGATTTTGCCTGTCCACGAAGCTCAATTGTTTCTTTAAATCTGAATGTTCATCTATCTGGACAGTTTCTGTTTTGGGAGTTGGGGCACACTTTGTGATTCTCAGGGATTACTTCTGGCTCTGCACTCAGGAATCCCTACTGGTGGTGCTCTGGAGACCATATGGGATGGTGAGAATTGAACCTCGGTTGGCCATGTGCAAGGCAAGTATTCTTAGTGATGTGTTCATGTCTAGTTTTGATTAGGTGATATTGCAAGCTGAGTCATCATCTCCCTAGAAAATCAGCCAGACTGTAAGAATGGGATCACTGAGGCTTTGTCTTTTTTTATTTTTTCTTTTTTGGCCAGACCCAGTGATAATCAGGGGTTACTCCTGGCTCTGCACTCAGGAATTACTTCTGGCAGTGCTTGGGAGACCATATGGGACAACAGGGATTGAACCTGGCAAGGCAAACATCCTACCCACTGTACTGTTGCTCTAGCCCCCACTGAGGTTTTGTCTTATCCTGATATGCTGAGAATAGAAAGTGAGAAAGTGGAGTTCAGGCCATGTGTGGGTAAAGAATCATCTAGGCTAGAGGAAATGCTCTGCTCTCATTGGTCAAGGCAGAGAGGAGAAAAGTATGAGTGACTAGAAAAAGATATCCAGGCCAACTTCACATGCCAGGCCTGCAGAATATCTGTGAGGCTGCTGTTTTGGGTGCTGAAACTCAGAGAGACATTGGATGATGGAGCAAGGCTCCCATGGAGGAGAAAGGCAGGCTCAAAGGGAAGGTGAGGGTTGGGGGACATGTGTGAGGGAGCCTCACATATTTGCATGTTACTTCCCTTTCTAGATGGCCACCTTTGGTGATTCTCTTGGGGCCTGATTAAGCCTGTAGCTCCCATGAGGAAGCAAATGTGGAGTTCTGTATCAAGAACTACCATACTTCTTCATAAAACTTCTCTATTCCCCAAAGCAGGCTATATCTTGTCTGTAGAGCCACAGGTGGACATCCTCCCACACATCTGAGGTCTCTGAAGGCTGGCCTAGCAGTCAAGGGGGATGGCTCTTTGCATGTGGGATCACGACACCATGTGGTCCCCCTAGTACGCCCCTCCTCCAAAAATATCAGACTCGTTGGCAAAAGGTAAAAATGTGATAACATAAGTTCAGAAAGCATCCACATAGACTGATCACTCACACTTAGTTGGGAGAACAGGACTTAAACCCTGATCTAAGAAATGGGGAGGGCATGACATTTTTCAAAGAAATGGAGCAAACACTCCTGAAATTTATATGGAACAATAAGCCCCCACGAATAGCTAAAGCAATTCTTGGGAAAAAGAAAATGGGAGGAATCAACGTCCCTAACTTCAAACTCTACTACAAAGCAGTAATAATTAAAACAGCATGGTACTGGAACAAAGGCAGAGCTGAAGACCGAAGGAACAGGGTTGAATATACTGACATCTCCCCCCATCTGGAGAGTGCTCCCAAACCTTCATTCTAGGTAGTTAAGAGCATGCAACAGTTTCCATCTGTGGAAGGGCAAGATTTTCTCTAGTGTCAGGACCCTCCATTGACAGAACTTCGAATGAAGTGTGAAGTGTGGTGGGTCTCCTCTGAGTTCTTTCACTACATCCTTTGAAAAAATTACTGGTTTTGAGTCATGCCCAGAGGTGCTCTGGGTTGTTTCAGAAGGTTAAGGGGGATTGAAGCATGTGCTCCGCCTTGTAAGTGATCTCATTCTAAAATGTTTTTCTGCTCCGAGTTGTAAGCTGCCGTCCTCTAGCCTTGTAACCCCTGCCCTGGTGCCTCCAACTCCTCAGCGGTCCCAGCAGGGCATGTTCTGTCTTTGCTTTCCTCTCTCATCCTCCCTCTTTCCTCCCTTTCTACTTCTCCCACCTCTTTCATACTCATAAACATTTCATATGGATTACCCGGAATGCCTTTAAATAAAGTCACAGTAAGCTAGTTTTGAGGGCAGAAACCAGGGTGAGGTTTTGGAATATCCTTCACAAGTCACCAAGGAAGTATATGTACATGTCCAGGAAGGAACCACTGCCAGTTAAAAAGCAACGCTCCACAAAGTTAAAAATAAATTTGAGAAATGAGTGTTAACGGAGGTCCTAGTCAAAAGGCCCTCTCCTAGGCGGCAGTGACTGTCTCCGAAAGGTTCCCAGACTGGAGAGGCGACTGACCCACGGCCACGCAGGGCAGGAAATGGTTCCAGTTCCCCTAATCCGAGAACAGGGCAGGTTCCTCACGATTACGAGGCTGACTCGGCCTCACCCTCCTTTCGGGCGGTGCCCCGCGGCCCCGCAGTGCTCGCCGCCTGGGCACCCCTGGCCTTGCGCTGGCAAGGACCACGCACAAGCGCACTCGGACGGTGCCACACCCGGGAGCAGGGCCGGCGGGCGCAGGCGCAGGCGGACGGTGTGTGCAGGCGGGGGCCTCGGAGCGCCGGCACCCGCGTTGCCGGCCGCGGCGCAGGCGCGGGGCGGGGCCGGGGGCGAGGCCCCAGCCGCTCGGGTCCGGCCGGGGGCGGTTCCGCTGCTCCGAGCGGGCTGGGCGCGGCTGAGAGGGTTTGGGCGCATCTCCGCTGCGCGCTCCAGAGCGGTCCAGTTGTGTCTCGTCCTGCCTTGCGCCGCGTCCACGCTCGAAGGTGCGGACCCGTGGCCCCTCGGCAGTGAGCGCCCCCAGGGCTCGTGGTCCCAAGGGACGGGTTCCCCGGGTGGGCGCCGCGGGACGGGTTCCCCGGGGCGGGCTCCCGGGACGGGCTCCCCGGGACGGGCTCCCCGGGACGGGCTCTCCGGGACGGGCTCTCCGGGACGAGTTCCCCGGGGCGGGCTCCCCGGGACGGGCTCCCCGGGACGAGTTCCCCGGGGCGGGCACCCCAGGACGAGTTCCCCGGGGCGGGCTCCCCAGGACGAGCTCCCCGGGACGGGGCAGCGCCGGTCTGGCGCCCCAGCAGCTGTTTCTCTTTTCTTGCAGCCGCACCCCCCTGCCAGCACCAAGCCGTCGCCATGGCCCAGGTAAACCTTGCGAGCTGCGTCTGCATTTGGGCTGGAAGCTGGGCGAGTTCAGGGTAGCGGGAATCTGCTTTGGGACGTGTCCTCCGCGCTCTCCTTTGCGCGTGCCCCGACTGCCCGCTGCAGACGTGGCGGTGGGCGCGTCCCCGGGCCGCGGGCGGGGGCTGCGCTCCGGGACCCTGACTCGCTGAAATGAGAAGCGGAGCCGGGACGGCTCCTCCGGTCCTGTGAGCTAATGCCGAGCTTTGCGTGGAGTTGGGGTTTCCTTGTTCTCCAGATTTCCGTGTTGGATTCGCCGGCCAGGGTGGGCCTTGCGGGTTCCGAGGAACCGGCGCGGGCTGTTTCCACTTGCTCCGCCCGTTTTACCGAAAGGAACTGTGCAGCGTTGGCGCTGATTTCTTTTTCCGGAAGATTAAGCAGGAAAACTGCTTTTCTGAAGAGGTGAACTCGGAGGACGAGTTCTGACTTGAATTCGACTTGAGGCTCTTTCAGAATTGACTGTCAAGATGGTCCCCTCCTTTCTTAACATTTATCAATGCTGAGGAAAGAGAAAGTCTTTTAATTTACACGCAATCTGTGAAAATTAACTGTATTATGTAATCTGTTGCGAACAAAGTTAGTGCTTGACTCCACCCAAGGGTTAAGTTTATGCATTTCGTCAGTCTGGCTTGCTACAGTCAATATCTTTTTTTTTTTTTTAAAGAAAACAAGTGTTCTAACTAAACAGTAACCTCTTTCATTTATTAGTTCATGTTACAAAAATATCAGATTAATCTATTTTCTCCAAGAGCCAGCTCTTGGTTTTTGATCTTTTGGATTGTTCAGATTGACTTGTCAAAATTTAAAAGGTTTCATGGTCTTTTCTAAAAGAAAATGGGAGGATTAAGATAAGTTGTGACTTGATTAAATTCTTACAGTGCTTCTATTCTTTGTTTTCTTTTGCACTAAGAAATACTGCAGCAAACCAGTTCTCATATGACTCTACTGCAAACTTTGGTTTAGGCTCTTTCTCAGATAAAGGATTGTTTTATGTGGAATTAACTTCTTTCCTAAGAATTATTTTTCCTATCTTGATATGCCAGTGTGGTGATGTATATGATGATTGAATAAGCATCAAAGAATACTTTCCTTTATTCTTCCTCGTTTTGCTGCATCTCAAATCTCTTCACTCAGTGGTCTGAAGTTTTCAATCAGTTGCTTTAGTTAACCCAGGATAGCATGAATGACCACACTTTTCCAGTTGTGGATGTTAATAATTTCGAAGAATGAGCGTAGTATAAAAGCAGTTTTTATAGGGGCCAGAGGGATAGTACAGCAGGCTGTGTGCTTTGCATGTGGCTGACATAGGTTTGATCTCCAGTACCCTATTCGATCCCCTTGGTCTTCCCAGGTTTGATCTCCAGCTCGCCATATTGCCCCCCTCCCCCCAATCCCTGACAGGAGTGATCCCTGAGTGCAGAGGCAGAAGTAAGCCCTGAGCAACACTAGGTGTGGTCCCAAAACAAGTAAGTTCTTATCTATATACAACACCTGGAGAATAGTACCTATTTTTTAATATGTGAAATTCTCTAGCAGTATTACAGGATTATTTTCTATAAAAATTACAGTTAGGGTCAGAGAGATAATAATACAATAAGGGTAAGGAGCTTCCCTTGTGTGTAGCTGACTTTGGTTTGATTTCTAGCACCACATGCTGCTCTCTGAGGACCTGCATGAGCGACCCCTGAGTGCACAACCTGTAGTACCCCCTGAGCATTACTGAGTGTGCTCTGAACTCCCCTTCCAGAATCCCCCAACTCATGCTCAGGGATCATGCAAGGCAAGGCAACTACAGCTTGGGGGACCATAGGCAGTGTCAGGCATCATGCAAGGCAAGTGCCCTACTTGCTGTGTTATCCCTGTGCCCAGTAAGTTAAGATTCTTATACTTTAGCATAAGTTCCCTGTTCAGCTGCAGTGAAATCCTCACAGAAAAGAACTAGATAACCCCCAAAAGTCGATAGTAATAAAGCCCTTGCATCTGTTCAATTCTCAAGACCTTGCACAGTCTTTTTAAAATTTTAAATAAAAATAAATTTTTTTTGATTACTGTGAGATAGACCCTTACAAAGCTGTTTATGATCAGATTTTGGTCATACAGTGTTCCAACACCCATCCCTCCACCAGAGTACATTTTCCAGCACCAGTGTCCCAGTTTCCCTCCATTCCCCCCCACCCCCCAGCCTGTCTCTATGGCAGGCACTTCTCTCTCTCTCTCTCTCTCTCTCTCTCTCTCTCTCTCTCTCTCTCTCTCTCTCTCCTTCTCTCTCCCTCTCTCCCTCTCCCTCTCCCTCTCCCTCTCCCTCTCCCCCTTCCTTCCCTCCCTCCCTCTCCTTCTCCCCACCCTCTCTCTTTCTCTCTCTACTTCTGGGCTTTGTGGTTTGCAGTATAGATACTGAAAGGCTATCAGGAACATCCCTCTATCTACTTTCAACACTCAGTTCTTGTCCAGCATGCTCATTCTCATCTGTCATTGTTATGCTCTCTCTTCACCATCCTACCTACCCTCTGCCCTTCACACTTCTGTGGTTGATTCCAATCATTGGCCAGTCCTCCTTGCCCCTGTTTTCCTTGGTCATGGATATTTGCCTTCTACTATATACCCGGTGGGCTGGAGTGATAGCACAGCAGTAGGGTGTTTGCCTTGAGCACAGCCAGCCTGGCCGAGCCAGGTTCGATTTCTTCGCCCCTCTCGGAGAGCCCAGCAAGCTACCGAGAGTATCTCGCGCACACGGCAAAGCCTGGCAAGCTACCCGTGACGTATTCAATATGCCAAACACAGTAACAACAAGTCTCAAAAAATGGAGACGTTGCTGGGCCTGCTTGAGCAAATTGACAGTGTATATACCCTGTACAGTTCTTGAATGACAAGCAAGAGTAGAAGAAAATTTCATTCTGCACATAACATTTTTTCTCATGAAGATTTCAAAAGACAGATTATGAAGACTACGGGAGAGACTAATTCCTTTGTTTTCTGGGACCTCACCTGCCAGTGCTAGAGGAGGAGAGCATGCATGCCTAGGGCTGAATCCGGCTGCCCATATGCAAAGCAAGAATGTGATTTTCTTATCTTATTTCTATGGGACCAATCAGTTCTTACTCTCATGCTTTTTTTTTCCCTTGAGATATCTGGATTTTTCAAATTCAGGGGTACTTTGTGGCCACTGATGTCTTTGAAAACGTTTTACATCATTGTAAAAACAAGGCCAAATTTGTTATTAGGACATAATTTTATGCTAAAGAGATAGTGAGTGCTTTCCCTTTGGTTAGATACCTGGCACTCATGTCCCCCAGCACAGAGCTAGGAGTAGGCCTAGGAGTTGGCTGGGTTTGCCAACAAAAAAAAGAGATAGAATTTTAGGTATTATATTATCTAATATTTTTTTCCTAAACTGCCCATAATAGCTTGCTTGCTTTCCTTTTAATTATTTTGGGCCACACCCAGTGGTGCTCAGGGGTTACTCCTGACTCTGCTCTCAGGAATCATACTTGGCAGCCCAGGACTGCTGGGGATTGGATCTGGGAAGACTGAGTACAAGGCAAGCATCCTATCTCTTGTACTATTATTACTCCAGTTCCTGCTCACTCTCTTGCTTCCTTGCTTGTTTTCTTTCTTTTGTCAGTAAGAAATTTGGATTGGGAGCGCTTAAAATTTTTCTTGAGTACACTCACCAGTTTGCAAGTATTTCATTTTAATAGTGAATAACCAAGTGGTGTACATTTGTATCACTTATCTAAAAGCCAAAGTTCACTGCCAGGATTAGATAGAACAAGAGGAAAGACTCAGTCTACGTAAATGATTTCAATTAACCCTTATATCTTAGATTTTGAGCCTCATCAGGGCAGTGTTTGCCTGCATGTCCAGTAGCTACCAGTGGTTCTCCAGGTACCATGTGATGCTATGGATTGAACACTACCCCCTTGGATGTAAATTGTGTGCCCAGCCCATTGAGTTATTTCTCTGGCTTAAGGCTTAGATTCCCACCCAAATTTGCTTTCAAGATTTCCTTAGCAATAACATATCTTAGGACACATTAAATTTTTTCCTCTTTTCTGCCCCCCCCCCACACTCTCCCCCTGACATTTGAGTTGTTTAAGCGTACAATTTTACCATGGTTATTGGATTAGAAAGTAACATTCTCTATTATGTTAAATTTGGGTATAAGGTAGTTCATGATGTTTACTAAGAATGGCCAAAGGACTTCTGACAATTGCCTGATTTCGTAGTAAATTATTTTTTAATTCATTGGTGTTTAGGCTACGTCCAATGGTGCTCAGGGGTTACTACTGGCTCTGCACTCAGGGGTCACTCCTGTTGGGGCTCAGGGAACCATATGGGATGCTGGGGATTGAACTTGGGTCAGCCATGTGCAAGGCAAGTGCCTTACCTGCTGTAGTAGCTCTCTGGTCCCTTGAGTGGGAATTCTTTCTTTTTTTATTTTCCACACACAGTGATAATAAGGGGTTACTCCTGACTCTGTGCTCTGGACTTACTTCTGATAGTGCTTGGGGAACCATATGAGATGTCGAGGATTGAACCTGAGATGGCCATGTGCAAAGTAAGCGCCCTACCCATTGTTCCATCACTCCTGCCCCTTCAGTGGAATTTATTAAGTAGAGTCCTTATTTATTCTTTGTCTTTTTGCTTAACTTGCTCATAAAGATTTTTCATTCCACTACTTATCTAGAGTCTGAATATTTCATAAGTACTCAGACTTAAAAATTTATTTAAATATTTAAAGAAATGAGCTATGGTACAGTGGGTATGGTACTTGCTTTGCATGTGGCCTCCTCAGATCTGATCCCTGGAACCCCATATGGTTCCCCAAGCACCACCAGAAGTGATCTCTGAGCACAGTAAGGTGTGTCCCAAATACCATTCCTCCCCCACCCACCCCCAAAATTTTAAGTACATTTTTCTGTATTTAGAAGAATCAGGAACTGTCTTCATTCTCTAGATTAGTG